TCTTCAACCTCCAACCCACAGTTCCGGCGCATGCGTATTGGAACGGCAGAACAAAATAATGCTTCAATATAACCTGGTTACGAAAGCAGCGTGTAGCTCAATGGTTGAGGCTGCCGCCTCGGGAGCAACGGGTCATTGGATCGATCCCCGATAGAGGTAGAGTTTTTTTATCTTTTAAAGTTTTTATTTTTTATTTAGTTTCTTATTAATAGTAAATTCTTGATAACTAAATCCGCTACACTCTTATTTTAGCGCCCAACGTGAAGCTATTTTTGTTTTGGCATACCACTAGTGGGTCATTTGCGTCTAGCCGTATCGTGCAACTCTTCAACCTCCAACCTACAGTTCCGGCGCATGCGTATTGGAACGACAGAACAAAGTACTGCTTCAATATAATATGGTTACTAACGCAGCGTGAAGCTCAGTGGTTGAGGCTGCCGCTTCGAGAGCAACTCATCGGGAGTCATTGGATCGATCCCGGACAGAGGTAGAGTTTTTTTATTTTTTAAAGCTGTCGGTAACAGCGATCAAAATACGCCATAGGGGTATTTTGATTGCGTTGGTTAGTCTCTGGTGTAAGTTTTTTTGTTTATAGATTGCACTTGAAATACCCGATCAATTTTATAGAAAACAAAATAGTTTTTATAGTTTCAAAAACGTATAAATTATAATAATAAAACAGTTATTATAATTTATACGTTTTTGAAATTTAGGTTAAATTATGCTACATGCTACTATTACTTAAGAACTTACTCTCGAAAGTTACAAGATTATAATAAAGACAAGAAAATAACCCACGATTTAAATTTGGCGGAAACTGTGAATTGGAGTTGGAGAGTTGCACGGTACGGCTAGACCTAACTCTAGCAGTTCTGTTTTTATTTTTTTCACACGTAGCATATTTCGCTGGAATCGACAATTTTCTTATTAATTCTATTAACGTTAATTTTTTTATTAGTCTTAATTTCTTTAAGAAGCTATATATTCTATCAGTAAGATAGTTATTGGTTTGGTTTTGCCCAATGATTTGTGATAGAGACAATTACATAATTTTAATTCCTTATGTGTAGTTTAGTTTAGTTCTTTAGTTTCATTTCGCCCTACAGTTTGCTTGTAGTTTAGCAATTTTATATTGTGAATGTTAGAGTCTGAATTTGAGCAATGTCGTCTGACATTTGTGACTCTTGACTTTACAGTTTGCTGTAAGTTTTTGAGTTTGATATGATGGTCATTTTGACATTTAGTTTTTGATTTTCGATCTATGACTATTACTTAGCCTACGGTCGTGGTTTGTTGCCTTGTGGCGTGTATCCGCTCTACATGGTGGGCGTGTGTGCGAAAATGCTCAGCAAGGAAAAATAGCCATAAGGTTCTCGTTACGGTAAGAGTCCGTCAATTGCCAGTGTAATATGTGTGTTAAATCTCAGACAACCGAGAGTGTCTGAAATTTCTTTCGTCTTTTTTTGCAATAGGATTCTGATTAAATATAGTCACTAAGTTTAAGCAACTACACCTATGTTTTTTTCTCTGTATCTTGTCTTACGCCTAATAATACTAATACTTTTAATTTAATATATTTAATTAGTCTTTCTCTAGTTCCCCTAGAAGATGCAAGACCTTTTCGTTATTGGGGAAGTTCCAAGCCAGGTGCTGGGGAGAAACACCTCTAGCTTTTTTGGCTCGGTCTAAGAAGCATCTTACTGTCTGGTTCCTGGCGGTGGTGTTGTGGCCAGGGAATTGCACCAAGACTGATGCCCTAATGATGCCGGACGGGGTTATTCTGTCCGTCATACCAGGCACCTTCTACTGTCTGTGGTCATGTCTCACGGGTAGTAGAGAGTGTGGGGGGTCTTGGATTAACGGCCCGAGCCAAAAGGAGAACAACTTCATCAAAAAACTAAATCCTACGATGGCGGGACTAAGTCAAAGGGATGCGTGATTAGATAGAAGACTAGCCTTTACTGGTCTCAACCGTGGGGCACTAGGGGGCAACCCATTGTATTTACCGTTAACCTACAACTTACTACATTTACCGTTAACCTCTTACTTTTACATGCGGAGCTCTATAGAAGTGGACCGATTATCTCTAGCGACTCGTGGGATCATTAACAATTAAAGTATCAAGGGACCAAACCCAAAGGAAACTACACGAGAGGCGGCTGACCCTTGCATGAGATCATATTCCACAAGTGGCATACAAGTTACCACGTCCTTCAGCAAAGGAGCCTACCTCTAGATCCAATAAGCGACACAAGCTATCGTTTCGTTGGCCTGACCTGGGTCAACCAGGGCCAGACGATCCTCGGAGGGTAGGTCTTAGCGAAGCAGGAGATACCTCCGACTGTTCCACGAAGGACTTGCTCCAGAGGAAGCAAAAGCGAAAACACTCCTTGGAAAAGGGGAAGGTAAAGGAACCAAGCAACAGCCTGGCGCGTCTCCATCAAAAGCAAGAGAGGGAGCGAGAAGTCCCATGGGACCCTCCACTGCGGCCGCGAGGACCTATTGTGGCTCAGTTTCTACAAGCTCTAATATACAAGAGCGTCAAAGTTCACCCTCAAGACCCAGCCTTTTAATATAGGCTGTTATGTCTGAGGGCGATATGTCTCCTAGGTCTGATAGGTCTAGCATGGGTTTGCCAAACATCTCAAACCTGGTCCTGCTCCCAGCGGGGCAGGTACACATAACGTGCTTCATTGTTTCGTCATCTTCCATACAGAATCGGCATTCGGCGTCTTCCACCAGTCCCATCCTCTGTAGGTGAGATCTCAGCCGGCAGTGGCCCGTGTACACTGCAGTGAGCGTACGCGCTCCATTCCTACCGACCTTTAGGAGTTCTCCTGTTCTATGGCCCTGCTAGGATTTTCTTGGCATGTTCTATTCCGGGACTGTCATTCCAATCCCGGAACGTCGCACCCCTAACCCATTTACAGACCCTGTCTCTTGCGAGATTTTTAGGAACGCTAAGTGTCGGTTCTGAGCCCACGAATGGCGAGCCTGTACCAATTTTGGCGAGGGAATCAGCACGTTCATTTCCCTCTAGGCCGACATGTCCCGGTATCCATATTAGCGACACTTTGTTCCTATCTCCCAGTATATTGAGTAGTTTCTTACAATGAAAAATCGTCATAGACGTGCTTTTCGTTGCCTCAAGCGCTTTCAGCGCGGCTTGACTATCCGAAAATATGAATATTGCTTTCCCGGTGTATTGCTGTTCTACCAGCAGTTGCACACAGGTTTCAATAGCATATAGCTCAGCTTGGAAAATCGTGGTGTGTTTTTCAAGACTGTGGTAGATATCAGTCTTTGGACTGCTGCAATAAATTCCTGCGCCAGATCCTTTTTCGGTTTTGGATCCGTCCGTGTACCAACACATTTCCTCATCCTCAGAGGTTGGTCTGACCACCGACCAGCAATCGGCTCTAGAAGAGGCGATACTGGACGAAGTAGTGGCGACCGAATGGCAACACAACGATCTACAAAATGTGGGTCAGCTGCGTTTTGTAGGGATACAATTTTGTATTTTAGGATTTACAATTAACCCTCATGGGTTTTGTATCTTTAGAATCGGCGGATTGGTTGGTAAAAGTTGCACCTAAGCTTAAAAATTGGCAAGGACCGGGAGTGAAGGGAGAAAACATTCCAAACTGGGCGGCCATCGCGGTTTTTCTGGGGTTTCCATCCTCTATTATAGATACAGGACAACACCGGTATCAGGTCTAAGGAGAGACCAAGTTAAAGAGGTGGAGAAAATTGAGATATATCCTCCAGCCTCCACCTCACGGGTATATCAGTCGGAGGCAAGCTCCTCGACTGTGAAGGGCACGGATGGCCAGTCTCCAACCGTGAAAGGTTGTATAGTATACACCTTTCCCCCCGAAGGTATACACTGTATACCCTCGGAGGAAGAACATCTGTTGTCAGAGAAGGATGGAAAATACTCTGTTCCCCCTACAGCAGGAAAATGTATAATGGGTAATGTAATGGGTAAGACTGTATGATGAGTTATAATTTAGGGAAGGGGGCAACAGATCTTTATGGTCGCAGTGATTAACCCCCCTCTCACTCATTCTAGTCTTTCTCTAGTGAAACATAAACGAACCTACTATATCCGGTGCTCTGAACAGTAGGTACGAATAGTCGTACGCAGCAGTGGCACAATTTAATCTTTTATTTATATTAAGTTCTTAATGACTAAATCTGCTACAAGGTGGACCAATTACATGCGCCTCCTCGGTCGCCTGACCTATCCGTTTTATTTTTTTATACAGTATGGTTAACAACAAGGTTTATAAGAAAACTTATGAATCAAGAGAGGTATACGAAGAATGTCGACACCATCCTGAGAGAAAAGTTTGTATTTCAGTTTTAAAAAGATGCATTTTATGTACTCACAATAATGGCGGGTTTTTGAACATTTGTTAAAATAATTTAGAGTGTATATAGTTATATTAGTTTTTTACGTTTTAATTTGTTTAATGTAAATTTTAAAGAACCGTTTAATCAAATATTATTTTTATAAGTTATAAATCACAACAGAATAAGTATACCATGCCAGCTATTAGTAAAAAAAGAGAAGAATTGGCTTTAACTTTAGTAATTTTCGGAAAAAAATATATTATAGCTTATATCGCTGGAAAGCTTTTTATGAAATTATTGTCAAATATGGTTTCCATTTAAAAAATAACATATGTTTGTGTCATATGTCAAAAATGACAGGCTTTAAAAAAACGAAGAACAGAGTCTCATTATGGATGTAATTATTTACAACTTTTATCTGAAAACTTTCTGTCTAAAAATGATTATAATGGAATTAAGGAATTCTTAAAATAGCCGAATTTTGGTTTATTTCGAAGTATCTAGTAAGCCAAAAACTTTTTCAAAAATCCGAAGGACGCATATATTTGATCTCACAAAACTGCAATTCTTTCCCCATTTAACCAACTGTCTAGCTCCAGTAGTTTCCGACATACCCATAAGAGAACATCATATAGAAAACTCACCTTATATAGTATCCTATTTAATAGTGTAACAATAACGTAACACAAATATTTTTATCCAATATAGTCTTACAGAAGCTCTGGTGAAACTTAGACTACACAGCCTTTTTCGACGATTTACCACTACGATTACTTTGTAACACTTTGTAATTGTAATAACCTGATTATTTAATATATATTACAGTCAATGTTAAACAATTTTTTCTATACGATAGTTTTTTCAACTTACCTTCAAAAGATTTATATAACTATTAACAAAGACTATTGTTTTTCCATTTTTACAGCTAATGATTATTAATGCTTTTAAATTTATTATTGTTTTCAAAATATACAAATTAGGGAGTAAAGTTTTACCTATACTGATTTGAATAGTGTTTGTTAATAATTGTCACATACGGAGAGATGTCTCACTGTTCGAATTACATGTACATTTTCTTGAAAGTTGCTGGCATTCGTTGGCATTAGTCCTAAGCCTGTCCCAGACGATATTGTAGCATTTTATTTAAAATTCACATAATTAATATAAATGTACAGACTTATTTTATTTAAATAATTCAAGTTTAAGTCCTCGCACCGAGATGGTATTCTAGGTATTGTTATTATCTTTTATTTTTTCTTCAAGTTTATTTCTGGCGAGATATTTCAGTCCGGTCGAAGTTTGTTCGTCACTTTATACCTGACGATAGAGCTAACGGCGTTTGTTTGCATTTTGCCAATTTGTTTGGGAAAACCCTCTGAGCAGAGGTAAGACCTTTATTTTAAACGTAACGTTGAGTAAGGTTTCCTAATACATTTTTTTCTTTTTATAGGGTTTTAGTTTATGGCAGCATTTTATTTTAAGGCATTTTATGGTGGCTTTATTTTCTGGTGCCATTTTATCTTTTTTGTACCTGACATTTGGTCCACGTTGTGTCCCTACATTTCACACCGGGAATAACAAAGGAATCTCCTGAATCCAACCAAGTTTTCGATCCTGTCAGTCCAGAAACATCTTATACCATCATCCAGTTCCAGTAGCAGTTCACCACAACCAGCTTGTGACCAGAACGGATAAACAGGCCAGATCATTTAATTTTATATCTATATAATTTAAATTCCTTTTAATTCATTAAGCCCTTCAGGCATATTATATATTTGATTGCTTTAGAGTTCACTTTGATATATTTTACACGTTTTTATTTACATGTTATGCATATTTCTGACATTCACATAATACGTTTTTTTAACATTGAAAATGTTTCTGTTATCCTATATAAGGGACCCCAAATCGATTTAAAATGCTTCATTTGCCACACCATGACGTCATCACACGTATACGTATAGGAAATCTCGGCGCGGTGCGGCGCGGCGGCGCACAGTGCTTCGTCCCATGGACAAAAATTGAAAAAAAAGTTAAAATTTACTAATATCTGAATATGTAATTTTATACTTATAGCAATGTTAAACCATCCTGTATAGTTTTTTTTTTAATAAACAGCGTTTTTTGTTAGCAAATATTTTCACTAAAAATAAATTTTGCAATCATTATCTTATCAGTGAAAAGAATAACATTCATAGTAGTTCTGTATATTATGTAGTTAAACGGTACGTACTTAATTGAAAGCCACTATGGATATTGTTAAACAAGGTATGTACTTTAAATTTATTTCTAAACAAGTTCGTGATTGTTTAGTTTTTATTCATTTTTTAAGATTATTCTTATATGGGTATAAAAATTTTACGTTTTTAAACTTCAAAAAGGCATTTAAAAAAAACATATCAAAACATATCGTATTTATTGAATATTTTTGTTGTCATATTCATACACTTTTAATTTTTGTATAGTCCTGCGTCTGCTTGCGACGAACTTTATTTTATAATACTTTTCAGATGGAGTAAAATTGATAAGCAATGCCGATCTGGTTAATACTTGGCTTGATCATAAGGACAAGAACTCAAAATTATTTGTATTTCAAAAAATGTGTTCTTTATTAGATATTGATGAACCTTTCAGCCAAATGAGGCACCACTTTTGCCTGAAAAAGCCCACTATGTTGGAGCAAAACTTCGCATAAAAAAGTTTCTATCTTTCAATTTATTATAAAACCTCATATCCAAGAAAAGGAAAAAATAATATATGGATATGGTCTATTAAAGAGATAACTATTAACATCCGAACCCCTCATACCAACAAAAAGAACAGTAACAACGCGAAAAAGTAACATATTAGAAAATGATGTACATAAATATCTTATATGTGAGGATACTTCATCTACCTGTAATTTGGATACTATAAATTTGGAAGATTCTGTCAGCAGTGATTCTTCTGAATCAGAGTAATTACGATCTATGCATTTTGTTGTCCTAAAGTAAATTTATAGTATCTTAAGTTTTTTTTAATTAAATATAACATTAATGTTTCTTTTTCATTAAAGAAAAACATTTTTATCTTATATTAGGCTTATATTGTGTAATATCATAATCATGTTCTAATGTTATTTCAATTCTTTTTTATCATAGGGATTTATTTAATACTTACACCGTTTTCATACTATGAATTATTATTTTCTTAGATGGAACTCCAACATTTTTATTATTTATATAATTTTTTTTTCATAAACGTGGGACTAAGAACATCATCATTTAATACAATGAGAGTACTCATCATTTGTGTCAAATAAACCTAATTTGAATAAATTGCCTACAGTAAAAGAGAAGTTTTGTATTTTTGTCCTCTAGAGCCAGATGTTGGAAACACTGTGCGGCGGCAGTCGGACATCACTAATTGTTTATTGATATATCTTTATTAGTTTAAAAGCAAAAAATATGGGGTTTGCTTTGTTACCTTGTCAAGACATAAGCGAAACTTATAAATTGTTTCTTTTTTTCATTTGGGCCTTCGTTTTTCGTTAAATGAAAGTTATATTTAAAAAAGCCCATTTTTAAACCAAATTTTCGCATGATTGAAATGAGTTATTCATGTTTAAAGTTTTTCTCAGTCATAAGCGCTAATATATTAGCAATAGTAGAATTTATAGGACTAAATTAATAAAAAAATATAGGATCTTCTTCCGATGCACAGTAGTAAACGCAACGGGTATCGGCAGCCAGACGAGCCGCATGCTGTTCCAGCGAGCATAGTAAAAGATATATCAAAGAGCCAGACGTCTTAAAATACTTAAACGTTGCTAGCTCTTAGACTATTATATTTTATATATATATATATATATATATATATATATATATATATATATATATATATATATATATATATATATATATATATATATATATATATATATATATATATATATATATATATATATATATATATATATATATATATATATATATATATATATATATATATATATATATATATATATATATATATATATATTTTCGCTTAAAATTAAAAAATCACAAATGGAGGAAAATATAAGTTATTGAATAAAGTTTATACAAATCACTTTACGACAACAAAAAAGTAACAACATGTCATGGCGGAAGATATTCAGGTGGTATTTCACACATTTATCTATTAAAATCAAGATTAAAATAATAAACTTGCATAACATGTTATACATGAGATAGAAAGTTTTAGAATCGATTAATACGCAATACTCTACGCAGTCAACTTATTCCTATGCGCGGATGAGAGTCTTCAAGACTCTCCCATCAGCCAAGGTCACGACGCCGCCGAAGAGGAATCGGCCTACGTTTGAGCATGTTTGGGTAAACAGGCTGGCCACGGTGGACTACGATATTAGCGAGTCTGAATATTTATAAAAATTTGTAAAGTAAAATATGTTGGAAAAATAATTAATAATTTATTAAATTATTTTATTTAACTGATTAATTTTCATTGAAAAGGCATTTTTGTAATTAGCCACTATATTAGATAAAAACTAAGAAACTTATATCAAATTTAAGTTTTGCGATTTTGACCTATACTTTTAACAAAATCTGAACACATTTTAAAAAAGTTTTTGATAATATTTGTGTAGATTGACTACAAGTTGTATAACATATTGTAATAATATAAATTTCTACGACCGGTCTACCTAGTGGTCTACAGCATCGCCTTGTGGTGCAAACGTGGGACTGTTAATCTGTGACTAAGACGCTAATAACCTAAACGCACAACAGCCTAACCTAAACGCACAACAGCCAAGAAAAACAGAAGCGTGGCTAATAATTTAGTAATTTAAAAAAAATGTTTTTTAGATACAGTAGTAGGTATTAAAAAGTTTTGTGTTTAAATGGGGTTTGCCTTTAACAGTTAAAAAATTATATCGTAAAGTGTAACTTTCCGTAAGAATTCCTTATCTGTCATCGATCATGATCTGTCATCATGTTAAACTGATGTTTTGTATGTTATTTTGTGTTTTTGCTCGTTTGTTTTACGGATAGGTGCGATCGCATAATTATTATTGATAATGTTTCATTTAATGTTAATGTTAAGCTGATGCTTTATATGTTATTTTGTTTTTTTGCTTGTTTGTTTTACGGATAGGTGGCGATCGCATAATTATTATTGATAATTTTAACATTACTACTTTTTCAGTGAATGTTTAAATCTGTTGTTTTTTGTTAAGTTCGTTATTTCAACATATGTATGTAATACACTCATATTAACACTAATCATATTTTTACGTTTTTATTCATCATTTTCAATGCCCCCCCCCCCCGATTGCATCTTTGTAAAGGACTGTGAATTTTTTTGAATATAAAGAGTCCTTACATTTTGGTACCAAGATCGCCAGACTTTATGCCGAATAATTAGTAAAATATTAATATTCAGAAGTGTGCAGATTTAACTACCATTTTGAGTGATCTTTTTTATAGATACAATTTACCAACAAATATTTTCAAACACCAAATCTTTCCATATTTTTACTTTATTCTATTTTACATTTAATTATTAATTATACTTAGTTATTAGTTTATCTCAGTGTATCATTTGTGTAATTCCTAAAATAAGTAATTCCTATATTCCTAGTTGACTTCTCAGTTTTCAACTTGGAAGTTTTCGAAAGTAAATGAAAAACTGAGTGGCGCCCAGTATCTTATAAAGACGTAAGTATCACAGTTTAATTTTCACTAGCTTACGACCCATTGCTCACCGGCGAACAGCTCCGTCGCACAGTGTTAGTTGTTTTAATATTTTTCCGAAAGAAAATTCTTATAAAAAAAATATTCCATCTTTTTTTTAAACTTCTAATGCTAC